TCTCTTCCATCAAACTATCAAGACACAAAAATACTTAAACTTGTCATTGTCTTGTAAAGACTTCTGCCTAAACCAAAGAGAGCATCCCTCCTTTGGAAACAAGACTTCAGAATTGAATACACATGTCACACACTTTTTTCCTCCCATTTGTCATTATTACAAAAAATAAAAAATAAAAATCAATTTCCACAGGAACACAACCATGCGGTGCAATGGATGTCGTGCCGTTTCCAGGATTAAAACATGTGATCCCTCTCATCTTTCTCTGATCTGATTAAAGCTTCTACTGTATCTGATCACCGGTACTGATGGATGTGATACTTTAAAACCATCATATTCCATTGTAGCCATGACACAGTTATCTTTGATTTTCTTCACAGTAATGATTGTTTTGCATGCAGCAAACTGGAATAATTAATCCAACTGGAGTTTGAGATGATAAGAGGTTGAAATGTGAATGGCCTTGCCTTGACTCATCATTAACATCATGGTTGTGCATTAAAAAAACAATAGAAATCTTAACCCTATTAGATTGGTTGAATATTTTCTACTTTTGTTTTTTGTTTTTCTAATAATCATGCACATGAGGAGGCAGCACTGTCCTCCTATGTGGAACTACAGCTCAATTGCTTGAAAACCAAAGAGGAAGATTAAAATGTGATGGTAAGAAAAGATGGAAATGCGCTTCATGAGATCATCTCTTGTTTTTCACCCCTCCCTCTTTTATACCATGGCTAACAGGACATTGTGCTGACGCAAGCTGGGGAGTTGTGAACCAGTGTACAGTGTTGTGCTCTGAGTCTGTGCATGAGTCATCGAGTCACCTACTGCGATCAGGTTGGTAGGGCACATGAACAGCAAACACTTGTTTTGACAGAAAGTTGGAGCTTGTTTGTTTTGTCTCTCAATCCGTGGGGGTGCAACATGAAATTAATATAATAAGCACTCAGTATTAGAAGCAATCATTTCATCAGCACGTTCTTTTGATGCTGATTAAACTTGAAAATATTTAACTCAAAATATACAATTGTACAAAGTAAATGAGTCAGCTGTGGAGAGAAACCCACAGCAATTGTTGCGTTGAAGGATGTTAAAGGGGCACATGTACAGTCAGTGTCTTACCTGCTGTAGACAGCAGTTGGGAAATGCCCAGTTTAGAGAATCTGAGATTTCTGATAGAGAAACTATAGCAAATACTCAGAAAAGGAATATGTAAAGAGTACATTTTACTATCTGAAAAAAAAGTCTAACCTGAATTTTTACAAATTTAGAATAGTATATCATGGATTTTGCACAGTTTCACGTTTACATCTTATTATTTATTCTGAAGTCTTTGGTTTGCAGCACAGGTGGCATGATATGATTTAGTTGGAACACTGTCACAAAACTAACCTATATGATATGTATGCCAATTAGCCCTGACCATGTAAAAACATGTGGACTTAGGGTTTATTGGGACTAAAATATCCAAATTCAGCATTTTAGGAAAGGCTAATGATGGTGACATGACTATATCACTGTAGGTGAAACTTTTATTTATTCTATTTTGTTTAGATGCAAAGTCACATTTGAGCAACCCTATGATTTTGGAAAAAAAAACTTGTCTTTCTCTAAAAGTCACTACTGCTTTAAATTAAACTCTCAGCTTTCAAGCTCAAAAGTGGTTCTGAAATTAGTCATTTTAGACAAATATTTACAATCCAAACTGGATTTATTTTGCTTGGTTACACTCGTCTTAAAACATAATAACAAAATCCATAAAGTTCCCTAGAACCTGTCACTTAAGGTTAGAAGAACAGTTCAAGTGTCTAATAAATGAAGATGAAGCTGGGACATGGCGGTTCTTAAATGAAAAGGATGAGAGATAGAGTGATGAGCATCTGAGCTCCAAAGTGGGAGACGGAAAGAGGGAGTGAACGTCCGGAGTGGAGAGTGCTGAGTGGGTGGGGTGGTGGAGGAGGAGAGCCGATGCTGGAGCTTGAGGTCTCAGCCTCCTTCTCAGAATTATCCCTCAGTGACGCAGGCTCCTCCACACACATCCTGACAGCTGCTCCCTGCCTGGTTACAGCGCTGCTCGGCCCGTTCAATAACATTCATGTTCATTTCCGCTTTAATGTGAATCTCACCCCCCCAAGTTCAACTAATGCAGCTGCATTCAGCCTCATTTACCTGCTCACACATTCCTTCTGGTTTCTGTGTAATCCAGAGTATTGCACACACTGGATTTTCCTATTTAATGAAGAGCTGCAGAGACAATAACCCATAAGTGTTGGGTTTTTTTTTCCCTTCTTGTCTGAAAAATAAAAAAAACACTGGATGTTTGACTAGTACCTGAAGTGCACTCTGTGATTGAGCAGACATTCTACCCCCTGCTTTTATAATAGCTCTCCAATATTAAAGCCCTGCTGCAGTTAAAGTAATGTCATAATTCTTTTTCCAGGAATTCCTCAATTAGAAATCTAAAGAGCTGAATCAAGTACCCAGAAAGAGAATTAGCAAAAGATTGAAGGAAATTACAATGATGTAAAAACTGCATTTAACTTTATGACCTTTAAAGAAAATACAATTCATCCAAAATAAAGGCAATTGAAGCAAAGGTAGAATACTTTAATACAAGGTAGAGTCTAAGAATTGTTTCTCAGAAACGTATACCAACATTCATATTCTCTGAAAACAGCTTCACTTCTTGGACTCCATCATCATCCTCATAAGATGAAGTCACATAATTTGCAAACAGAACATTCTATTTATTTGTTGCTTTATACATTTGGAAACTGAAAATAAATCTGACATCTATCATGTTCTAAGGTTATTTTCCTGCAAGGTTGAAAAAAAAAGAAAGCCAAAGATCACAATGAATGAGTTAGAAAAATTACATTTTTAAATGTGAGTGCTGAATGACTGTTCAGATTTTTTGACAAAGGTGAAACTACTGAAGCTAAAAAAGCATAACACTGACTAGCTAAATGCTATAAGGAGCAAAATGCTAGCTAAAATCTAAAAGAAGCAAAATGTCTTCTAAAAGACACAAATAGGAAAATTCTTGCCAAAAGCTAAAAGTAGCTAAAATCTTGCTAAAAGCATAGCTGAAAAAAAAAAAAACCAGCAAAAGGCTAAAACATTGGTAAAAGGTAAAAACAACAGAATATTTGATAAAAGTTAGACTTTGGCTTTTTACTTAGCAAGGGACTAGCTAAAAGCCAACATTTAGCAAAATGGGAGCAAAAGCTAAAGATGGATGACAAACATAATTTTTGAAGTATTAAATTGACAAAATCCAAAAAGTCAAACACATATATTTCTGAATGAACTGAACATTTTGATCTATATTTGGCTACATATACAGCACAAAGTATGCAGAAATAACACATGAACAAACTAAAAAGAATAATAATAATAAAAAAAGGAAAACAATGCTGAACCAGTATTCACCAAAAAGGACAAATGGCATAGCAGGAATGGCTATTAATGCCAGATTTGTTGTATACGTTTGGAAAGTAAGGGTTTATTGTAGAGGTTTATAACTTCATGCAGATCAATCATCACAAAGCCACAACCTTCAAAATTTGCAACTGTAAAAATATTACTAAGGACTTATGTTAATGCTTCCTCCTGTGCATCTTTACATCATCTTAATGTGAGCAAAAATGTCTCACAGCCCAGTCTGAGCTAGTGTTTCAAGTATCATTTGTTCCTTCAATACCCTTTGAAAATGTCACCACATTTATATTAGTCATAGTTGAATTCTTTCTGGCAGGTTAAGACTCTGGTTCCACTATCACTTCATTGTAGCCATAAAAAGGGTATCAAGTTTCTTCATTGTGAGAACTTGAAGAGATTTCTATGGTGACATTGTTAGTTTCTGAGACATTCATCTTCCTTTGAAAATACTGTAACTTATTTCACAGAAGGTCCGGGACACTCCGTTGTCTTTGTCTGTTTCCTTACAGCCCATTCACTAAATCTGAGTCAGTTGCTCAAGGCTACAGATGTGGTGACCCACAACTAGTCTCATTAAGATTTTCCATGCTGACTTTGAATGTTTTGTTTATTTGACTGAAGTTAAAGTGATTGGACTGGTGTGGAATGAATGGCTTAGAATACACCACATTTTCGGACTTTGTGATAGGAAAAAATATTTTAAATTTATTCAGATTATTTTAGGCTTTATCAGTCAGATCCATGTCAGACATGCTTATAATTTGTTCTTTTAACAGCTGCTATTGTATTTCAGAGGAAGAACAATAAGAACAGTAGTGTTTTGTCCTTCCTACAACAAAAGCAGATCATGTCTGCATACAAAAGAAAATGCTCCAGACATGAGAGGCTTTTGTGTATGACACTTGGGATAACTGGCCACAAAAGAAAAATAATGGACGGCCTTTCCTTTCAAAGGCCCTGCTAGTTCAAAACAAACAACATTTACCATCGCAAACATTGTAAAAATGTATGTACAGTAACAAGAAGAAAAGTAATTTGTTTTTCAGTTACCATTTCTCTGTGTTTTAATGGCCTGATTTTATAACTGTAATAAAACAAGCTGCCAATGAGTAAAACATAACTGGGTAAAACCTCTCTTATTTAAAATATTGTTTGAAATATTTAGTATTCTACATCACTTTACAACATAGCTGTTTTTTTCTTTTCTTTCTTTCATTTGTTTTTCTCAATTTGTATGCTTTCTTTTATGATTGTCTACTGTTGTCTTTGTCTACTGTTGTCACCGCTCTTTGTTAAAATCAGGTCTCTCTTGTAAACGAGTCCAAAAGACTCAATGGGATTAACATAAAGGTTGAATGAATTGTAGCACTATGCAAAAGTCTTAAACCATTTATTTATTTATTTTTTTATATATTTTTTCTCTTATGGAGCCAGGTTTTTGAAAACTCATCAGAAAGCTTATTGGTTGAGTCAGCTGTTAAAGATGACAAGAAAAACAAAGCATTTTACTGTAAACGCAAAACATGAATAACTATTTGTGTACTGCGCCTTTAAGACAAACCGGAAGTACTTGATCTGCACCGGATGTACAAATTTTCAATGTGACCTGCGCTTGTTATCGCTTACAGTATTCTTGTTTAACAAAATCTAATTTAAAGTCTAAAAATGTTTCTCACCGCCGTGAACTGTAAGTATTCAAGTCACTAAATAAATATTTCTGATTAACCGGACATCTGCGCGCGCAGCATAGTCCCGATGTTTCCGGTTATTTTTGTCAGCTGCATTAGATATTTGTGCCGTCGCCCTGCTGGCATGTACACATGTTTGATTTTTAAACTAGTTTAGGTTATATTCCAGGCGTGTTGTTGTTTAATGTTTGTTGATTAATAGAAAATGTAACTTGCAGTTAAGTAGTTCAAGTTTTGTTGCTCATTTTTCCCGGAAATCTGTCATTAGCAAACGTTTTTAGTAATGTTTGCATGACATTTTGATATGTTTTAAATATATTCAGGCCCAATGTGAGTAATGCATTGACTGTTACTGCATGCTTAAGTATTAATACTGCTATGAAAATACTCATTTATGTAAAAACCTTTTTTCTAACCCTCCAAAAGTCTTTTGCTTTAATTTTATTGACATGTTCTCTGTTCTTTTTCAGTGGCTAAGGCAAAATCCAAGTAAGTGAAGCCTTTGGATATGTTTGAGTTTAATTCTTCAATCATTGCAGTGTTGGATCTTAATGTTTTTTTTTTTTAACTGTTCCCTTCCATCAGGAACATCCTGGTGCAGATGGTCAGTGCTGCTGGGACTGGATACTGTTTCAACACAAAGAGGAAGCGTCTCAGTGAAAAACTGATTCTGCGTAAACATGACCCGCGTGGTAAGAGACCGATTTTCATGGACACCATTTTAGTACTAAATGGTGATTACGCTCATGTCACTTATCTTATTTAAAAATGACATTATTTGTTTACTTCATTAATAGTCTTGAACTGTTGCCTTCCAAACATTGGAGTGGGTGTGTTGGGGTGTACAGTTTAAAAGATGAAGAATAATCTATGAAGCATCTTCAGTTTATGCTGCCTGTTACAATAATTTAGGGTTTTAGCTTCCTTTACTTACTAATTTCAGAAATATATACAATATACTTGTAAAGCACTAGACTTCAGCTACATTATTTATAAGGAAGTAATATAATCATTTGGTAAATCAAGTTTGTCTGCATCATTTTAATTGTAAAGCTGTGGAATCAAAAGAGAATCAGGATTCTTTTTATACTCGTAAGCTGCAGAAGAACATTTTTAAGATATTACAGTGAGATAAGAATATAAGATTCTGTTCTGAAATATAATCAGATAGTTCATACTTTAGAACATCAGGGTTCATGTCTCAGCCCACTGTTGTTTATTGTTGTGACAGACGCAGTTACTGAGCCTATTAGGAGAGAAGTGCCGTGGGATATGTTGTTTGCAGATGACCTAGTTGTGGCTGGAGATTCTGAAGTTAATCTCCAAGATAGTTTCAGACGGTGGCAGCAGGAACTTGAGAGTAAAGATCTGAAAATAAACGCAGCAAAAACATAGACCATGGTATGCACAAAAGCTAACGAGACCTTAATTACTGATAATAGAGGAAATGTACTGAAGTTAAACGCTCAAGTATCTGGGGTTGGTGATAAATGTGAAAGGAAGGTGTGAGGAAGACGTTAAACGCAGAATTGGTGCGGTGTGGCAAAAATGGAAGGAGCTGACAGGAGTGCTTTGCGACAAAAATATGCAGATTCATAATATTAAAGGGAAAGTGTAAAAGGTGATGGTGCGTCCAGTCTTGCTTTGTGGAGCTGAGGTATGGACTTTAAAGAGAAAGGAAGTGGAACTACTGGAAAGAACAGAAATACAGATGCTACGTGGGATTCTTGGAGTATCCATCAAGGATAGATGGCGAAATGATAGAACACAGGAAATGCATGAGAGAGAAAGCGGCAGAAAGAGCTTGGCAAATTATTATTATTTTTTTTTTTTTCAAAATCTAAAAATTCTGATATATGCATATATTTTCGTTCAGTTAAACAAACTGCAATTTAATGTCTATTTTCTGCATGAATAATAATGTGAATGCATAATATATTAACCTTCTACATAATGTCTTCATCTCTTGACCATTAAATTTTTTTCCTGTTTTTTTTGTCTTTGCAGTGAATAAACACGTCTTATTCATTGAGAAGAAGAAGATCAGATCAATTTAACAATGCTCAAATATACATGGACAACGTGTAAAGTTTGAAAAGACAGTTTTATTGTCTCGGATTGTACAAGCCATCAGTCAAAAAGCATCTCTGAGAGGCTTTCTTCTGAAATCTGCAGCTCTTCAACACCACAACAGTTCAGCGTGATGCAAACTGAGCTACAAGTCTTACTAATGCTTTACTGGAAACATAAAAAAAAATCTCTTGGAGACAACACGTTTCTTGATGTATTAAAATTGTTTTGAAATTGGTAAATATATTTGTGAGACATAATCTCTTGGGGTAATTCAATAAATTATGTCAACTACTTTCTTTACAAGTGAAGAAGTGTTTTATTGTCCATTTTGCTCATATTGCTCTTGAGTTTTAAGTCCGTTCAGGTCAGTCCAGACTTGGTCCATTAACACGGATTTGTGCAATTAATTACAGAACAGTTTGGCAGGTAGGTCCTGTTTAAATGGGAATGATGTCTGTGTGCCGACAACGTGCACGCTCAGTCCCGCTACTTGATTGGCTCTTTGTGCCATCTCCTCCAGAGGCATCATGGGATGGTTAGCCATGTAAAAGGCCAGCGCGCCGATAAAACTGTCTCCAGCTCCCTGCAGAGAAACGAGCAAATATTTATGAAATATACTAAAAACACTCAAATCATTAATATTACCTAACTTTACTCATAGGATTTGTTAAGTGAAATACACTGGATGGATCTGTAGTATGATAAAAATGTCAAAATTACACAAATGTATACTAATTGATAAATTTCGAGTACAGTTTAGCTTCTAACAAAAACTAATTAAACTATTATTGACAGCAGAGGTTACATTTTAGTGTAATGAGGGAAAAGACTGGATTTGTATATGGGTTTGTAGTGTCAGATTTATAGAGTCAAAAGGTTAAGCAAAAAAAACAACAACATAAGATCCTGATGCATGCTCAATAATCCAGGTAGAAAAATCTAAAAAAGTTAAATCTGGTCCTCTGGACATTCAAGAAAAAACAAAGCAAATCAACAAAAAATGTAGAAACGTTTCGTCTCTCATCCGAGAGACTTCCTCAGTCTGAGGAGCTGTATTCAGCTCAGTCTCTTAAATAGCACCGTCTCAGAGTGGATCAACCAGTTTTGCTGCTGACAACCAAAACCAGCTGATCACATGCTCAAGAAGGACCATCAGCCTAACAATGGATCATTAGCACACTGATGGCTGT